GGGGCGAGCCGGCCCGGGACTGCTGCGCCAAGTGCAAGAAGCGCGTGCAGTTCGCAGACTCGCTGGGGCTAAGCTTGGCTAGCGTGAAGCACTTTAGCGACTCGGAGGAACCACAGGTGCCACCTGCCGTGCTCTCCCGTCTCCGCAGCTTCCCGCTGAGCGCCGAGGACCTGAAGCAGGTCGGGGGGCTGCTGGCGGTGGCAAAGGTGCCCGGCACCGCGCGCCCAGCTCCGACCCTTCTTCCAGCTCCCGGGGCTGATCGCTGCGGAGGAACGTCTGAGGCGGCATCGAGTGTGTCTCGAGTGCGTGCAGTGTTCCCAGCCGCCCAGTGCCGAGGTGACCGGCTCGGGCCGGGTGATCAGCTACCCGGGACCCAGGGCAGTGACTGTACGCTACACCTTCACGGAGTGGCGCACCTTTCTGGACGTGCCGGCCGAGCTGCCTCCTGAGTCCCTGGAGAAGCTGCCTCCTGTGCCGTTGGGGCACTCTGGACCAGGGGCTGGGGATAGTGAGGAGGAGCTGGTCACTGAGCGCTTCTGCTTCTCGCTGTGCCTGCCTCCAGGTCTGCAGCCCCAAGAAGGGGACGCTGCTGACGCGTGGGACGTCGCGATCCATTTTGCTGTCTGCTACCGCTGCGAACAGGGCGAATACTGGGATAACAACGAGGGGGGCAACTACACCTTGCGCTATGTGCGCTCCACAGACCCGCTCTGAGTCCTGGAGCTTTGGCATATGCAGAGAGGCTGGCCAGCAAGTTTCATTAAGGGATCTCGGGGAACTGAGCATCGCAGACTTGGCATTAACCAAGCTTGGAGCGAAAGGAGAAAAGCATAAACCGTAAATTAGCAGCGCAGATCCATGCACCAGCAATCACAGTGGGTCTGGCCCTCTTTGGACCTACTTTTCTACTTGCCTTCTGGAACTCCCAGCCTGCAATGGAATAAGGAACACCCCAGTCCCCCAAGCAGAGGCTCTCTCCAAGTAAAGGGTTCTGGAACCCTGAAACAGAACTTGTGACCTTGGGGGTTTGTTTCTAACATGAGGTGTTGTCCTTAGAGCTTGGTGAAAACCTGCAGGGAAAGACAGGGCACCCCACTTCCACGTGGGAAAGGAAGGTCTTCACTCGTGGAACCTTCAACACCCACGCTTGATTCTCAGGAGGCTCGGTGGTGCCTATCAGCCCGTCCCTTTTAACTGGGATCTGGAAACTTCCGTCCAGACACAGCACCATTTTCTCCTGTGATTGGATACAAATATCCCTTTAAAAAGTAAAGGCCAAGTGGACATAATTTCCCTCTGTGCTTCATGTTTTACATCTGAGGGTTTGTGTTTGAGGAGGCCTTGGCAATCAGGGGATGCTCAGCTGATGACGCGGCACTGTGACAAGTGTGAAACAAGAATATTGACATGTTTTCTCTTGATGTGGAAAAGTCCAGTTCCCCACACTGGGAAAGAGCGGTTTTCAAAATGTACAAGAAGTGTTCTGTCTCTTGCCATAGTAAAATGTTGGACGAATTAAAATGCCAAAGGCCTTGGTTGTGAGCTGCAAGAACCCATCACATTCATCTTAAACCCTTTTGTGCAGTAGAGCTCGTAATAGCTGTCCCACTCTCTGCGCCATTAGCAGTCAGAGAAGCTGGGCTCTTGCAGGCTGCTCTCCAAGTGCAGGGGGTTGGGAGCAGGACAGGTGGCTTTCTCCTCTCAGAGGCACAAGGAAGAGTGGGAACTTGATGGTAACAAAGCACACTCAGCAAGTGCTGCTCAGAAATAAGTGGGGTACTCTGCATAGCAGATGAGGAGTTCAAGTTCATCCTTGGCCAAGTAGGTGCTTCAAGGCCAGCCTGAACTAAATGAGGAAAAAAATGTTCATTTTGAAGAAAAGGTTAATACTAAGTCAGCCAAGTGGTGGTGGTGCACGCCTTTAGTCCTAGCACTCAGGAGGCAGAGACAGGAGGATCTCTGTGAGTTCGAGGCCAGACTATACGGAGAAACTCTATCTCAAAAAACAAAAACAAAAACAACAAAAAAGCAAGTCATTAAGTATTTAAAAGTGTGTTTACTAGGATCTGGGTGCCTTTCAGTGGTAGAGCACTTGAAAGGCGCATCAGTTATTTTTCTCTTTTCTGGGGGCGGGGGGGGGGGCAGCTGCTCACATTGTATTACATTGTTCCTGGAAGCAGCAGAAGAATGCTGGTCTCAGCTTACTGGTTCCCTCTTTGCTTGTGCATGTGCATGTGTCCCTGTGTTCATACATGCATGTGTGGAAGTCAGAGGCTGACATTGGATGTCTTCCTCTATTGCTCTCTATCCTTTTTTTGAGACAATGTCTCTCACTGAATTTGAAGCTCATCCCTTGGCTAGACTGACTGGTAAATCAGTCCCCAGCATCTTCCTGCTCCACCCTCCAGCACTGGGGTAACAGGTGCGACCCACCACACTGTTCTTTTTTTTTTTTTTTTTTGGCTTTTTGAGACAGGGTTTCTCTGGGTAGCTTTTGGAGCCTATCCTGGCACTCACTCTGGAGACCAGGCTGGCCTCGAACTCACAGAGATCCACCTGCCTCTGCCTCCCGAGTGCTGGGATTAAAGGTGTGCGCCACCAATGCCCGGCCACACAGTTCTTTTACATAGCCCTCTCTCCTACATGGAAGGCACTTTACCAAATGTGCCATCTCCCAGCCCATTCATGGTGCCATCTGCATTCATGTTGTGTCTTCCGTGCCCAGTTAAACCTTTCTGGAGACATTGTTACAGACTCATCTAGAGATGTGTTTTCTATGGGGTTTCTAAACCTAGTCAAGGTGGATAGTGTTGATTAACCATTGCATCTAGTATGTGTGAAGGCCTGAGTTTGATTCCCAGAACCACAAAACAAAGGAAGAGGAGGAAAGGGTAGGAGGGAGTAAGAGTTGATTTTCCAAAAGGATGGAAGCACATCCCCTCATCACAAAATTCTCACAATGAAGCTGGTGCCCCTTGCAGGAATGTTCACTTTTATCTGACAAAGTAGTCAGCTTGCTTGAAAATGGAATAACTTTAAAAGTCTTATTTAGCTGTAGTCATTAAAGACTAACTTCTTCCCAGTGATTTAATGACCCAGTCCTACATTAAAGAGAGATTCCAGAAGCTTCCTGGTGGCCAAGATGTCTGTGAATCTCTCACTCAAGGAATATTGAATGGACAGTGTGTTCCCATCTAAAGAGTTTCTGAAGCAGCAAGAGAAAGCCTAAAAGTTTCAGGGAATAAAATATTTCCCTAGGAAACTCCATGCTCGTGAAATAAGCTGGGTACCCTGTTTGCAGACCTTCAGAGGCCAGGCTCTGGACACTGCACTCTGGGAGCCCATGGAGCAGCAGGGAAGGTCACTGTTCAGGAGATTTCCCTGAGCACCTGGGAGTGTGACTGTCTTATTACCCACAAACCTCCACTCAAAGGCCTGTGATTTTTCTCATACTCCGTGTGTGTGTGTGTGTGTGTGTGTGTGTGTGTGTGTGTGTGTGTGTGTGTGCATGTGTGCATGTGTAGGTTTCCATTCTGATGTCTCTACATCTGCCCTCCCTTCTTTTTCTCCTGAGCTATAGGGTTTTAATATACCATTTCATGGGGTTTCACAAATTTCAGCTCTAGCCACACAGCTTTTGACTAATTTATTAGGCTAAGGGGTTTTCATTTTCCAACTTAGTGGCTGAGTCCTGTGCCTTGAAGCCACTGGCTTAGCATGCCTGAATCACATCTTCTTTATCAGGAGTGGGAGGAACAGCACAGGGTGGGAATTAGATGTGCTTTCTGTGGCATCGTGGAACTGAATCAAGAGTGCATATCTGGCACAGGCTACAGGATCCAGGTATGTAGGGTAGAGAGAGCGCTTGAGCCATAATAAGTTGACAAATGGTGATGACATATTGGTACCCACAGCCTTTGCCTGGGAAGTCCCCAAGGGGGGGCCTTCTGGTTTCAAAGGATCAGGGATGTGCAGCTGTTGGAAGTCATTGGGGATAGAGGTCTGGGGCAGGGAGGCGACAAGCTGAGCTCACTGTAGTGACTTGGCTTTCTCCACCTACAGAGCACCATTAACAGTTACAGCTGGGAGGGCACCAGCTTGGTAAAGAGTTCTACACTTTGCATTTTGGATAGCTTATATATTTGAGGAACATGAATACATTTTGCAGACAAAGGAGACCCTAGCAATTGGCATCATAGCCAATACAAGTATATATATATATATCTAGCTTTTACATTTGATATAGATTTAGAAGAGTCATTTTCTGGTGTACAAGTGTGTCTCATATATACAGTAAGAAAATGGCTCTTTGGTCCAGGCAAGTGGATATAGACTAGGTTTTAAATAGGACTGCCCAAATGGAAAACTTTCATCTGATGGCACTGATTACAAGCAGTAGTTGTAGTTGGCTAATTTTACAAAGAAAGGTCATACATAATTGGCTAATTTTACTTTGAAAGTTCATACATAATGCATATTGTATAAAAGAGAATCCTTGGTGGTCATTTTGTATGCATTTACCATACATGCCTTTAACTCTGTAAACCTTTTTCTTTTATACATTATAGTTTGTGTGTGTGTGTGTGTGTGTGTGTGTGTGTGTGTGTGTGCATGACATAGTGTGGATATGGGAATCAGTTCTTTCCTTTCACCATGTGGGTCCCAGGGATTTAAACTCAACTAGCTAGTGACAAGAGCCTTCACCTACTAAACCATCTTACTGTAAACATCTGCACAATAGTTAGATGAAGTTTAGTCACATGGCTCTCTTCATTTCTAGTCACAGATAGGAAGGGTATTGTTAGGCAGGTTCTTTAGGGGGATAGAACTGGTTAGCATATACAAGTTATAAAAAGCGGCTCCCCCTTAAGGAGCTGGGCAATGAAATAATGTTCTTGTGCATCCCAGAGAGGCTGAGAGCTCAGTAGCTCCTCAGCCCATAAGACTTGATGCCTCAGCAGTAGCCATTTCATGCTGAAGGACTGGAAGACTCCTGGAGAGTTACTGGTCTTCAGTTTGTGTTGGAAAGCCTAAGAAGCTAGAGTTTGATGCTAGCAAAAGATGACAGCAGCAACAACAGGAATAGACACAGTCAACAACAACAGGGATAGGCACAGTCCACAGCAACCACAACCACAACCACAACCACAGGGACAGACACTGTCAACAACAACAACAGGGACAGGTACAGTTAACACCAGCAACAGGCATAGACACTGTCAACAATAATAACAGGGATAGCCACAGTCAACAACAGCAGCAACAACAGAGATAGGCACAGTCAACAACAATAACAGGGATAGCCACAGTCAACAATAACACAGTCAACAGCAGGGATAGACACTTTGTAGAAGCAGGCAGTAACACTGCACTGCTGTCCCCTTAGGCCTCTTTGTGTCTGGGCCACTCATCAGAAGGGGCTGCTTCATCCAAGGATGGTCTTGTCCCTTAGTCCTTTGTGGAAATGTGCTCACAGATCTGTCCAGAGGCATGTCTCTTAGTTGATTCCAGATCCTACCAAGCTGACAAGATTAATCTCTACAGTTCTTGAGTGTACTTAGAATTACCTTAAAATAGTTGTTTATATATTAGTAATTTAAAGGATTTTAATGGCCAGGTGTGGTGGTGCATGCTTTAATCCCAGCATTTGGGAATAAATGAGTTGCAGTTTATGGCAGGACCTATGTCAGTCTCTGTCTGGATCCTTGAATGTTCCACATGAGGAAAAGAAAGAGATGGATGGCTTTTCTAGGCCAGGCTGTCCACAAATGGGAGATTCTGTATCATTTGTCATCACTAATGAGAAGGTTTTGAGAACCTGGATTTGGATACATTCCTGTTTCAGGGCACATTGACCCCTGTGCCTGCCCATAGGCCTCTGATGGATGTTTGCAGTGTGCACCAATGAAACATGTGACCTTCCTGGGCATCACCAAGATTCAGAGATCTCTGTGATTTCTTTCCAGTCTACATCATTCCCTCATTCTCAGAGCCAGTCTAGTACTTGGTCATTGGTGCTTTACATGAGTTGTCTAGTCGGGCTCCCGCTGGCAGGGACCCCTGATTAAATATATTACGTTCGAATCTCAATGGAATAATACATTAGCAACTTTTGATCATATTCCTATGTTGTACATTATAGTTCCTGATCGCATATATGTCCTGAACGTCCTGCATATTAGATGTACATGAATGAGATGTGCATTAACTATTTCCAAACTAAAGAGCTGATTATATTGACATTAATCTTAGGTGAAGTCACATGGGTTCTCCAGAAAACAGATAGGAAGTTCTAGTGAAATGCTAAGAATATGAAAGACATTTAAGAGACAAAGTAAATAAAGTAACTTTTTTTGGATGATGGGTTGATTATGGGTATTTTCTGAGAATGCTTAGCATTCTTGTATGAAGATACAGATCTTTCATGTAAGCTGTTTCCTGTGGAACCAGTTGTTCTCGGAAGCCTTCATTCCCTGGGGAAGTGCAGGCAGATGCCTGGTAACTCACATAGGCA